GGTCGTCATTGCAAATCGAACATCCTTTTGAAATCGGGCAGGCGATTTCAAGGCACCGCACTTAAATATTAGCAACATATTTTTCTGAGCGGTTGTTTATTCTCTTTCAAACGAGACATAAATGTGACGACATAGTCGATCCCTTATCCACCGCTAAGAATGCCGCAATGTTTCGTTCGTTTTGCAACATGCCACAAATCGTCGAAAAAAACACCACTTCGACGGAAGCTTGCGTAATAAGGGGGTTAAAACAAGAAAACAAATGCCATGTTTAATACATATCGACCTGTTTTACTTGCGAAAGATAACGGAACATGAACTCGTTTCGTGCGACTTCGGAACCCGAAGGAACACACCAACAACGTTGAATTTACCCGCTATCTTCCAAATATGGTATATTAATTTATTCAGTTGTTTATTTAGAGTGACGTCCGCGGTCGAATGCGATTGGCTATCGATGTCAGTGCAAAGGTCATATGAATATTAAAATTAAGTGGGCGGAAGGAAAATTGTATAGGAGACAAGCTGGAGTCTCGTGTGGCGATAGCGATAACACCGGGACGAATGGTCTGGGGTATCAGTCATTTGGTGATAAGTGAAATGAAACATTATACATGTACTTGTAAATTAATGCATTTACAGTAATCGAGTTTTATGGTTTCCCAAAAATTAATTTAAATTTTGCAGTGCAACGACCACCACCCTTTAATCATCAGAGATCATCTTACTGTATCTGCAATGGAAACGCTTGAATATTGATATAATACGTTTTTGCATCAGTTTTATCGGTAACACAATTATAGTTGATTTTTAACTGGATATAAATGTATCATTGTGATTCATTTTTTTAAAAACTCGAATCAGTATAAATCATACTATTCCGACAAGGTGTTTATTCACACTTCACGTAATTAGTCAAAGCACGGCACTACGTCACAACATTCTTACATATTATTTTCATTACTAGTATAATATTAAAATGAATGTTTTCTTGATATATTGGCTTTTTGGCTTTATGTTTGAAAGGAGTATCACATAATTCTATACTCATATGAGTGTGCCCTCGCGTTCAGTTTAGGATTGCGATTGAAATAACATCAGCGAAAACAAAAATATGCAGAGTCATTTGCAGGCGTTCAGTGTTTTAAGCGAGGCAAGAATACACGTATATCACTATAACGATTCCCGTGCGGGCCGTACAATCAATTGGCGCGTATATAACACACTGGCCACATGTTGTTCGTATAGATTAAATAGAGTGACAATTGACTGAAAAACAGATCGTGTTGAAAGTAGCAAATGTTCACTTACTACGTCATATATATATATTTATAGATATTAAAACAAGAAACAATTTTGTGTTGGAAAATGAACTTATATCTAATCACATTGTTAACCAACCAAGCATCATCACTCCCACCACTACAAACAACAAATATTTCAAATAAATAAATCAGTAGTATGAAAGGTGACACCTTTAAAACAGCAAACAATTTCACGGATCACTAATTATGTCATTCATCTGTATGTTAAAGGTATCAGCCACAATTTTCAATATATTGTCACAGCTTGACTGAAATAAATAAAAATGAACATTAGAGCCAGTGAAAATTAAGGATAATTTTTCTTCAACTTTCGATAATTCTTCTTCAACTACCCAAACGGTGTTCGTGGACATTCTGGGTGTCGACCAGGATACGTATTAAGGCATTTGAAGCTTAATATGTTAATAAGTCATGTGTATATTATTTCTTTTGGTGCGGTATGGGTTAACAATGGTATGTACATTATAAGTTTATAATCTTTTTAAATTACTCTTTTGCTGTGCCGACTATATTTTGACTCGATTTTCTTTCACATTATACAAATTGTAATGCCTCCGATGTAAGTTATGATAAATCCCTTAATCCTATTACCAATTTATATTATTACTTTTGCATTAGTATTATTTATTTCTATTATATTACCTCTTCGAAATGACACACTCTTTCACGAATTCTTTCGGTAACTGCTGTACGTTATCACTCGCCTTCCCGTTCCCATATGTCAACAGTCCGCAGGCATCGAATTCTTCTCCTGCAGCGATTGTGATTGTCTTCTCCTTATAATCCCACAAGACCCGGACTTCAATATTCGTAAATACCATTATGAATTTATCATTTCCAATAAACCATTCAGCACCAGCGTAGTGATCGTCATGCACATTCACATTACCACGACCATTTAGCTGTTGCAAAGAAAAAAAAACTTAACTTGGAAAGATATGAAACATTACAACAAAAGTACATTTTTGATGATACGTTGTATTCTGACAGTGGTATTTAACGCGAACATCTATCACAAAAACGTTTCATTTTAAGTGATCATGAACTGTTATCCAATTTTAAAATGGTACATGCCAAAGAATAGTCGATCTTCTGTCATGAATTAGTTTACGCGTATCTGTTGACCGACTTAATTAGCTGATTACGAGCCAATTGCTGTGTTAAGTCTGTCATCGTTTAGACCTATTTGAAGTTTTGGACATAACTTGGCTCAGTGATTTGGAACTAATTACGAGATAACCGTCGCTATTCGGACTACTATTTCTGACAGTTGGTATCCGTAGTTATTAATGTAGTGAACGACTAATCAATAGATATGACGTATTCAGTACTTAGTGTGATTGGCTTTATGATTGAAGGTTACGGCCTAGAGTCTTTTTACTGTTTTGTAATTGGTTAGAGTTTTGAAAATGAATAAAGAGAGTTTTAGTTGGTCTTGACGAGTACACGAGGATAGACGCAGTCGAGAGTCCAGTCCTGGAGAGTCTTGGGCGAGTCTCGGGACAGCCTTGCGATAGTCTTGGGGATTTTTCCCCAGGGCGCTGTGTCTTCAAAAGACCGACTAAGACGAGAGTTGAAACGTATTTCGTTGTGTGTGTCTTATTTGACTGTAAAGCTTATGTGACTTCCCCGATCCCGTACCTCAAGGGGACGAGATATAGAGACGAGACGAGATTCCCCTCTGACACGTGTGGAGAACCCCACAGAGGAGAAAATTTACCCCTGATACTTCCTTAATTCAATATATCGCGTGTGTTACATTTCCGGCATACAAACTATTTTTAATAATATTATTTTCGCTGATTGCACATCATTTACGACTATAGATTGAATTTGGCTTATTTAATAAAATTTTCTGTCATCCAGGAAATAGACATATGTCATGAGATCTGGTGACAACGTCAGCGCACTTAGATATGACTTACTTCCGGTACTCCTTGTGGATTCATGGTCAGTACATGTGGCGCATGTACAAGATTTGGAAAAGAGTATTGGACAGAATTGAGTTGTGCTGTTGGTCCCATCGAGGTCACACTTCCATTGATGGATATTCTTGTTTTAAGGATGTTGCACTCACGTAGGAATACGTAGTCTCGAGTGCCGGACTCCGATTGAGAAGGAAAAGTGTATTTTGCGCCGTTCATAGTTTGTAATTTGAATGGTTCCATTTCAATAACTGACTGTTCACATTTACAAGCTGTTGAACAAAAAAACAAACACACTTGAATATATTCGAATAGTATAGTAACCAAATTAGTATCTAGGAAAATTAAAACTCATTATAACATACCGATTTCAAAAGTGATATGTATCCAGGTAGAAGACACAGTTTTCTGCTTGTTTTAGCTACACTGTGATAACGTATCTTAAAGCGCGGTAGTCGTCGCGCAGCGCGTGTTCGAATTTCTTGTAAATACACAATTTATTTTACACGCGTTGTATACGTCGCTATGAGTCCCATATCGAACAGGACGCGGCGCGACGACTGCCGCCCTTTAACTATGGTGCGTAACACTTACGCATTTTTATTACTTGCTCTCCCTTCATGTTGGATAGCGGCCTCTCACTGGGAGTTCTTCTTTTTTCGTTTGCCGTCCACTTCATTGTATATGACTTACACGATTCGAATCCGGCATCATAAATTTTAGTTGCTGCACTCCCCAAAAAATTGTCAGTTACGTTGAGACCTTTTTCACCGGTTATTGTGATGGTTATATCCCACGTTATCTGTATATAGCGTATATAGTGTTCCATATTTCTCCGTTGAATATACAGTACAATCCGTCCACAGTCTAGCCAGCCAGCAGCAAATTTCAGTCTCTCGTAATCTAGAAAAGCAAAGAAGACAATAATGAAATAAAATAAATTCATTCCTATACCTGGGATTGCTGTTGCGTTTACTATCCATGTTGCATGTCAGTCCGTTTTCCCATCTCCGGGTTTCCACCCCAAAGTACGCGTATACTACACCATATTACTCCTGGACATATAGAGAGCCATATACTAGTATATTGGTAATTTCTATATGCTTCAGTTTCCCCCTGAAATCGACCAAAAGACTGGTGATCATAACCCCAAATCAGAATCAGTATTACGCACAGTCAGAATAATAATATTATACATTACCTGCGTATTTGATGTGTCGGAACTGAAAATGAAAAGAGATAAAATTAATGCATGCACCACGCAATGATAATACACTCAGCTTTACTGTGACTATCACAAACTAGTAATTTATCAGAACCAGTACTCACTCCGCCGTTCAGTTCAACAGTTTCGACACTGACCACAAATACCAGAAACAAGAACATTAACTGAAACATCTCGGGAAATATTAATAAATGTACGACGTCAGTAAATCACAGTACGGCTCTGCATTGAGTAATGTGCATCAGTGTTATAGATTATCTTGCTTGTATGCAAATTGAGTGCACAATCCCTTCCAATCTGGCAATCAATGGGCGCAGTAATACCATAAGCACGAACACAGATGTAAAAATAGCCCACTGGCTATTTGGTTTTTTATGGTATCCATGTTAGTTTCTCTGCTCAGAGGCGGCGGCCGAAATGTGTGCATGGGGGGGGGGGAAGGTGAGATCTGCTCACTATCCCTCGCGGTTGCCCCCGGTACCGCCGCCACTGTTATAAAAACATTGACAGACATGATCCAGGTCTATAAAATGTCATTATTAACGTGTTTTCTTCACCACCATTTTTTCCATACTCATAGTCACCATCAATTTTCGTGACGGCCACTTCTTATTCAGTACCTCTTTCCTCTTCCGGTCGTTCATAATAGTACTGCTAATGCTGGTGAGTGTGATGTTTCTCAAGGCAGCCATGTCAACAATTGTTGATGGTCGTGCTCAATGTAGTGAGTAGTTTTGTTAGTGACTGTAGACAAAATAGTGGACTTGATATAGTTGAAGATAATTGAGTCAATATAACAATACACTACTTTCAATTAGAATTGCGCATTTTTATTCCTGGGAGTGGACTAAAAAATCATGACCCCTTCCGCGCCCACGCACAAACAAGACTGGTATAAAACATGCTTAACCCCCAGTCTAAAACATAGACATGAGAATGAACAATACTCATTCCCAGTAATGAATTTCTGTATATGTATGCTGCACAATCCTATATATCGATTGTGTGTAATCTTTGTATGGCTGAAATCAGTTATGACTTTTCAAATGTTGGTATTTGACTAGTTTACTCATACTTACCTTACCACAATCCAATGTAAGCATTGGTTATACATTCAGACAAACTGTCCAAAGTTAGCCCGAGTTCGGAAATAAAACACTTCCAATGTACCAATAAAATCGTTCACCTGAGGGGCTGAGCGCCCAGTTCCAGTTTTCCCGGCGTAAATAAATCGTCCAGAAAATGTAGGCTGTCATGTTGATAAAGTTATGAAGACCAGAACGTTCTGTCCCTGCCTGGGCGGATAAGTATATACTTGTGATTTATTTTCCTTCAGAAAATTGTTCAGAAGTGGTTGGATTTCCACGTGGTTGTGGCAGCCATGTTAGCTGGCACTGTTCATACTGCTATGTGTGTAATTACTAATATACTTCTATTTCTCATTTAGTGTGTGCTTGAAAATTGATTGACCGTATGGAATCTGGCATTATGCTCATTTTGTGTCAAGTAGCGGCTTTTCAATCTTCATATGTCCCCTCTAAGACACACAAATCTGAATCTTTTAATAATAAAGAGTTCTAACACTGAGAGTGACTCGTGACACATTTTCTAATTCATCTACCAGCATTCGCCAAGTATCACTGGCACTGTCACATGGAAATATTAATAAGAGGGCATTAGTGCGTATACCAAACCAGACTACTGAAAGTTAACGGTTATTGGTGAACCAGAAGCATCTACTGGGCTTCGGCTGTCTACCAGGGCGCCAATAGGACAACATGATCAGAAAATGAGTCAATTGTTACAAGCGTTGACCAAGTTGGCCGAGTTGAATATTGGTAGATATAATAATGTATGGATGGACTAATTTTTGTGGCAATGTAAATAATCAGGCAATGTAAGGAAGTGTTCTGGATAGATCTTGGTCTGACCTGACCGGGCTGTAGCTGGTAATTGTGAATCCGGTGACTAGTGAGGGAACCACAAGGATTCTGGAGGCGAGTAGTCAGGAGGTAACATGCAGGAATCGGGTACAGATGCACGTTGTTTAACTTTTTTGAAATTATAAAATATGGCCGACTGGCAGCCATTGTGATTGTTAATCATGGCTTTTGTCTGTCCATTGATATTTCTCAGAGATGCCTTGATACTAGGTACAAAGATACAGTGAGGAGGTATAGATATTCACATGGATTTATTTCCTGATTTGATCCAATAAGGCTGCCTGGCGGCCATTTTGAATGGGTAAAAATTTCGACATGCATCCAGGGCTAGTTATCCTGGTGCCAGTGTGGTGTCAAAAAGTCAAAGACCTAGTGGTTTCACTTTGCTCCAGTCCCACCACACAACTCAAACAACTGATGGGTTTTGTGGGAATGACTACATCTAAGTAAGGCCTGGTACTGCAAATGGATCTCAGGGTAGAACTGTTATTACTCAAGCCATGTGGTGTGGGGCTTCACTGGGAAGCCAGTTATCACGTACCCCAGTCTAGCCACCCTGTGGGAGACACGATTCATAGATCTATTTGCCTCAGGCAGAAACTTCATGCTCAAGCTCTATGTCTTACAGTTTCTGGATCAGTGATCAATGGAATACTCTGGATGTATATAGGTTCCCACAAATTACAAACTAATCCAGTATGCCTGCTAGACACCCCATCACTTCTGGTTTAGGAACACGGGGTTCTGCCCATGAGCTCAGTTCTGCTTGGCCTGACTCGGTTAGTGCCTGACAATATCTCAAGACTCTCTCATGGTGTAATCAGAGGCAGACAGATTCATTGCATTGCATCATTCTTCTACTAGCGGAGTTTTTGATATTTTGATTATTTTTTTGTTTTATTCTAAAGAAGTTTTGCTCACCAAACCAAGTCTGTGCATAAACCTATGTGTACCTAGGGTAAGAGACACAATGTATGCCTTTGTTCCGTTTTAATTCAAAGCAAAAACCAAGAAGCCCGCCTCCCAGGGGCCACTTGATTGGAGTATTAGTCTAGTCTTGCTACAAAGTACAAACCCCTTGAAATTAGCGACAATAGAACATTCGATACCCAATACAGTGTTCTTGCACGGGTAGGAGGTGAAGTGAGATATCATCCTTCTCGTTTGTGACCGCTGCGCATTATGGAGTTACCAAGGCGTTTTCTTTTGGCAAATAACATTGAACGAAAATGTATTATTCGTCGCAACTCCCATCATTATCCCCTTGTTATCACAAAGCACGTTTTAGCCGCATGATTTTTTTATATTTATTTATTACTCAGAACAGTATGAGCCGAATCACTGTATTTACTGTACGAGCCGCATTCTGCGACGAGGATACCTTGGTTCTTTCTGCAACCATAGCTTTCCGTTTTGAATTGAATAAAAAGCGGCTATAATTACGCATACACTATTTATAAGAGGAAGAACACCAGACTGCAGATTATATTGATGGTACGTACACTTTTTTATTTTATAATCTATTCCATCCCCCAAAATTAACCTCTGGTAACACAATGTTCACCCAGAGCTGACCATTGTCACGCAACGCAGTTCAATACTAATGGCGTTAACCCTACGAAGTGGCCCATTCGTTCACGAATTCTTTCGGTAACTGCTGTATATCATCACTCGCTTTCCCTTTCTTATATGCCAACAGTCCACAGGCAGAGAATTCTTCTCCTGCAGCGATTGTGACGCTATTTTTGCTATGATCCCACAAAACCCGGACTTCGATCTTTTTAAAAACTACTACCATGTTACCACTTCCGGAGAACCACTCGACACCAGCATAATGATCGTCATGTATATTCAAATTTTTTTGACCATTGATCTGTTACGAAACAAAGAAAAACGTAATTAGGGTATCATATCTGGCAAAATTCATGTAAACATTCCCTGCATCATGCAATTTCATTGGACGCCATGATTGATAACCTGGTACCGTCGAAAACAAATATAGCCAGTTAGCTGAGGGTGCGGTGATAAGTTCCATTGGTCACGGTTACTAAAAAAACGTGCATTGGTCAATTGCTTGAAAGCCGTTCGTCATGGTATATTTGTTTTTTTAGCTCCATGGTTTCAGACATCACCGGAATAATGTATTCATGTAACATGTAAACACTGGGAGATGGATTGAAATGTGTACATTTACGCAAACACAATGTACAGTTCTCACGATGAGGACACTGAAAAAACGCCCGAATAGCAACGCCATATCTGTAATTCATTAACTTAATGAGTATAGATATTTACTATATGCAAAAAATGCAATATTCTCGGGAATAATCACATAATTTCACTGCCTGGTAACCACAACCCGTGAAAACAATGGCCGAAAATGTTTTTGTTTTTTTTGTCATTTGGGCTAGTTGTTGAGACTCTTGAGCAGTGTAACAAGATTATCCCCACATGTGCAATATATATATATTTGGTTGTTCAGGATTGTCACATTGTTGAGTTTCTGTTTCATTCCCGACTCTTCGACCAGCGTTCCGAAACAGCTAGCGCAGATCTATGATGAATTTGTTTTCGCGTATCTGTTGATCGACTTAATTAGTTGATTACGAGTGAATTGCTGTGTTATGTCTGTCATCGTTTAGGCAAGCGAGGTCCTGGACGGAACTCGACTCAGTGATTTGGAACTAATTACGAGATAACCGTCGCTATTCGGACTACTATTTCTGACAGTTAGTATTCGTAGTTATTAATGTAGTGAACGATTAATCAAAAGATATGACGTGTTCAGTACTTAGTGTGATTGGCTGTATGATTGAAGGCCACGCCCTAGAGTCTTTTTACTGTTTTGTAATTGGTTAGAGTTTTGAAAATGAATAAAGAGAGTTTTGAGTTGGTCTTGGCGAGTACACCACGATAGACGCAGTCCAGTCCTGGAGAGTCTTGGGGCGAGTCTTGACGCAGTCTATAGGCAGTCTTGGGTCAGCCTTGCGATAGTCTTGGGGATTTTTCCCCAGGGCGTTGTGTCTTATAGAGTGCTCGAATGACCGACTAAGACGAAAGTTGAAACGTATTTTGTTGTGTGCGTCTGTTTGACTGTAAAGTTTAAGTGACATTCCCGATCCCGCACCTCAAGGGGAGGCGATATAGAGCCGAGACGAGATTTCCCTCTGACACGTGTGGAGAACCCCGAAGACAAGAATTTCCCCCTGATACAGTAGATCCCATGGATCTGAGATACTAGCACATGGTACAGTGATGCGCGTCTTAGCAACATAGATGTATGTATACTCACCGTCGCTACTCCGTCTGAATTCATGATTAAAGTATGGGGGTCGTTGAATTGGTACGGGAAGAAGAATCGCACCAAATCTAGCTTTGGTTCATCAGACCCTGTGGTGGTCACGCTACCATTGAATGATATTCTTGTTTTGGGGTTGTCGCACTCCCGTAGGAATACGTAGTCTCGAGTGCCGGCCTCCGATTGAGAAGGAAAAGTATACTTTGCGCCGTTCATAGTTTGTAATTTGAATGGTTCCATTTCAATAACTGACTGTTTACATTTACAAGCTGTTGAAAGAAAACATTTTATATATTTATTTCCAAAAATAAATGTCCCCGTGCAATTACCTGTTATGTATATTGAAATAATTGGCATATTGGTATTAAGAACATACAGCGAAGAATAATAAGGATTTTAATGCACAAACATTGAGTCTATGGTTAAAGGGAAAGTCAAGGCTAACAACATAATGCTTCCAAAATAGCCCCGAAAATGTAAGAAAATACAATTCATAATTTTTATACCACTTTGCATTCTCTAGATAACATTTAATCAGTTTATGTAGCCCCCTTCCATCTTGATTCTTCAGCAAAGAATTATGGGTAAAATATGACGTAATACACACTGTTGTAGAAAATTGAGAAAATGATTTAATCTATAAAAGTTGAACCTCAAATTGGTTGCAAATCTATTACATGGTAACATACATGTACTAGTGCTGGACATGCATAAATCAAAGAAAGCTTAGAAAGAACTCCCATGTGCTGAGAGTATTGGAGACACATTAAATATAATTCGAAATTACTTAGCTGAAAACTAATTATGCAAATCAGAAAATTAATATGACCAGATTTGAGTGTAAAACTAATGAGGTCTGCGCAATGTAACAGAAAATCTATGTTTAATTGAAATGTGATTAGAACCAAAAAATTATGAATTATTATGCTTATTAGGGAATTAATATGAACAGATTTTTACCCAAAACTAATTAGTTTGTA